AAGGTGCATTAGTTTACTGCACCGGCAGTTTATTACTGTATTGGTTCCGTATAATGTTTATCCCGAGATAAGGTAGACCCCGAGATAAGGTAATGTTTTCTCATGCACCGATGAAAACCTTATCTCGGGGTCAGACTGTATAAGTTTATAACTCGTATACTATTTCTTCGATTGTCTTTCCTTTAGTTTCGGGAACTATTTTGAAGATAATTATCCATAAGATTAATGTAAAAATGGCAAAAACAGCCAAAACATAGGCCTCCAAATTGGTCTGAAATGAAATAATTAAATAAATAATTAAAACATTTAACAAATATGTATAACAAATGATAATTACCTGAATTGAGATAAAACAAAATGAGATGAGAAGAGGGACTAAATATATGGTGACGACTGAAACGGTGGCGCCAATGGCCCGGTAATTAGTCCGGAATAATTCAGCGAAAAAGAAATGCGGTATAAAATAGGGTCCACACGAGTAGAGAATGATATACAGGAATAGAGTGATGAGATTTAGGTAATTAAGAGCTTCCAGATCTTCCCGAAGAGCCAAACAGAATGAGAGGAATACCAGAGCGCAGAACAATCCCAACAGTCCTATCAGTAATAGAGTTCTTCGGCCCAGTCTTTCGACCAGAAATGCAAATATTAGAGACGTCTTGAATGAGACCACAAGAAGTGCGATCGATAGATATGACTGACTCTTCTCGGAAATCATCATTTTCTTGTAAATAGATTCGGCCAACACTTGAACTCCAGATATTCCGGTCATATGTCTACTCATCGCCACAATTATTGATATAAACAAAGCGTTTCTAATCTTCGAGTCATTCCAGAGATAATAAAACTCGAATCGAGTGTTGCGTTCAATGGCCTGGTATTCGACTTTCAATTCATACAACTCGTCGTTTACTTCAGAACTCTCTCTTAATTTTTGTAATGCATTTTGAGCCCGAGTTTGATCGCCTAGAAATTGAAATTCAAGTTTTATTTTAAAATTCAGTGTTCAATACATTTGATTGTATTGAATAGTAGAATACCTTTTAGTATATAAGAGAATTTTGGCGATTCTGGGCATTCGTTGAGGACAACAAACATGAGAATCGATGGAATGACAACCGAGCAGAACATATAAATCCAATTTTCAAACTTGAAACAAGCGATCACTGTTTGGGTGACAAGAATGGCAAAACTGGTGCCAACGATATACGAAGAACCCATTATTCCTCGAATAGCAACGGGAGATACTTCGGTGAGATAAATGGGTGCCAAACAAGCATTCATTCCGGTGTTGATTCCAATTAAAATTTGTCCGATGATTACCATCTCATAGGAAGCAAATTTGACACTAAAACAGATGAAAAATAGTGCCACAAATACTAAGCCATTGCTCCAAAGAAGACTTTTCTTGCGCCCAATTCTGTCCGAGAAATAACCCCCAAAAATAGCGCCAATTATTGCTGCGATTAAGTAAGTGGTGGACCAGAGGGTGAGGAAGTTGTTAAAGCGTTCATCGCTATGAGTGTCGAATATATCAATATTCTGTAAATCCTTTCCGGGACTCAAACTCTGCTTCTCCTCCAAAGTTCTCACATAAATCACTCGATCCGTGAATTTGAAGATTAATTTCAATGATGACTCGCGAACTGATATATTGATGCCATTGATAAATGAGGACAATATTACTGCTGTTAAACAGTATATTAAATGATTAGTTATTCCGCAGCTTATCATATCTGGCAAGTTTTGGCTTCACTTTGAATTTGTGATTATATTATGATAATTATTAAACATTTGGGAAAATTGATTATAAAAATAAATCATATTTAGGATATTATTTGGTTTGATATGAATTGTGATAACGAAAGGAAGATGTCGTCGACTGAGGGAACGTCTAATTCCTGTAGAATATGTCAAAAGTACGCAAAATCTGACGACAGCTCACGGTTTGCAAGAATAGGCAACAAATAAATGCTATTTTTCTCAAACCTCTTACTATAACACATGTATCGATCCGTTAGTTTGTTCTTTACACTGATTTGTTGAATACAAGAATATATAACAACTTTTATAACCAATATATTTTTATTGATTGTATAATATGCTTATTAATTATAATGTAAATTACAAACATATTTATTAAATATAACATTAATTTATAAATTTATTTTATTTAATTTGATTAGATTTTTACTATTTATCGAATATTACTTTTAATTATTTTGGCAATCATTATTTATTAATGTGTGTTAATGCTACAATTACAGTTTGAAAAGTATATTTCCAGGAATACTTCAACAATTGATAGTACATATGTTTTCTTAAAATTTTATTAGATTTAATAGTTATTAAATTATTTAAGGTATATAATTTCATAATGGTATTAAATTATATATTACTAAATGTGTTGTCAATTGAGTTTATTGAAAATTAGTTATAAAATAATTAAAAAAAATAATTTATATTATAAATCTCAATAGTAATTAATTTTAATCTCAGAATAAACATATTTATAAATAATTTAAAAATTAATAATGGAGGAGGGTGCAAAAATATTGGGGAAGTCTCGGTGGGACTATATGAATATTTTTCAAAAAATATTTCTCACGTAAGTGTTAAATTGTCTTGATCTTATTTTAGGTAAATAGACAATTGTATCTAATTTTAATTATGTGAAGTAGTTTATGATATTTAAATTTTAAAAATTTAATAATTTACAAAATGGAATTAATATACTGATAATAATATTCACTAAATACACACTAATTAGTGAACATAATGATAGATCTATGGATGCAGTGATCACTGAAATGTTGCCTTGTTCAATATTGTATTTTGTGTTGACTGGTGAGTTTGTCAAACGCCTGTTTACAAGCTGTTGGCAAACCGGTACTCAATAAAAGTTAAAACTACATCAAATAATTCCTAATAAATATTATTAAATTCATATAAATTTTTAAACAAATATTTCAAATTGTTTAGATTTATTTGCAAACAGTTAATGTTTGCATCGTTTTTCGTATTATTAACCGTTTCATCGGCAGTAATACCCCTTTCGCCGCACCTATGGATGCTATACTTGTGTGCATTTTGCATCAGGATCAGTTCAAGTATTTATGGTTGTGCTGTAAATGTATGGACAATATCGCTGTGGGGGCACTAAGTTGCCGATCGTACAGATCCATGAGATGTCCTTTGGTATCGGTTCCGTACTTTGCACTCAAGCATTGAAGCCATACCTCGTGGGCGAAGTGCACAATGAGTCCAAAAACGAGAAAATGGTTTTTGACAACGAGTTAAGGATTAATGAAAACGATGTCATTGATAGGCGATCGCGACTCCTGATCGGCGCCTGTATTATAATCAGTAAGAGATTATCAAAATATTATTATAATTTTCTTTAATATTCTTGATTGCATTTTATTTAATTAATTTTATTAAAATAAAATTCACTTATTCTATGTACCGATATCTCTGTTCATAATGTATTGTCTAAAGCCATACAAAATGCCAAAAGAAGGACGAGGATGTGAATCATGAAAACCAAACCACAAACGATGGCAATAATAATGATAATAACGATAAAGTCATAGACTTTTCTGAATCAGTAATCAATACAGTCTGCCCCCGAAATAAGGTAACTCGGTATAAGGTAAACCCCGTGATAAGGTGCATTAGTTTACTGCACCGGCAGTTTATTACTGTATTGGTTCCGTATAATGTTTATCCCGAGATAAGGT